AAATTCTCGCCCCATACATACAAGCAGCGCCAGCCGTACACGACACGTTCGTCCGTTTGACCATGCCAGCAGTGCGCTAACAAGGTAAGCATCCGAGCTTCTCCTAATGGGTTGGGTCCGAGACTCACTCGCCGCGTCGAAGACTCCAGATGCCATGGGTGTCGCAGATCGCCTCGGACCCTCCGGGAGACTCTTTGCCAGATCGGAAAGCGCTTCGCGCTTTCGCCCACTTGCTTGCCTTTATCTACATATTTATTCATTCGCTATTATCGCTCATTACAAATACTACCTCTAATCAATCGATTTTAAGTGTCATTCCTGCATCTCCATTTAGGCTCAATCTCTGTGCAAACACACAGTGATACTCAAAGATTGAGATTCGCTAGCGAAGCGAGGAACGAGTGTAGCGTTAGAATAGGGTCTTTGAGCGAACGAGTGGTGCGGCACGTGCCGTTTTCTCTTCTTACCACCACCTCGTTCGCCACACAGAAGGAGTTCATTAGCTCCTTCCTCATTTTTCACCCACCCTCCACTCCCAAAACTTTAGCATTTTGACTGGCAACATAGTCTTTCGGATGGCCCGAGTGCATCCGCAAGACGGGCCCACCCGCCCGTCGCAGATCGCCTCGGACCCTCCGGGAGACTCTTTGCCAGATCGGAAAGCGCTTCGCGCTTTCGCCCACTTGCTTGCCTTTATCTACATATTTATTCATTCGCTATTATCGCTCATTACAAATACTACCTCTAATCAATCGATTTTAAGTGTCATTCCTGCATCTCCATTTAGGCTCAATCTCTGTGCAAACACACAGTGATACTCAAAGACTAAATCAGCGTGAAGATAACGCCGTACACAATGCGATAGACTTGTAGTGGGTGACTTCCCGTAACATAAATTCGCCAGATTTAAATAAATCGACGAGATCTAGGGTCTTTTGCCGGGATGCCGAGTCTTGTAAGGGTTCGACTTTGATGGAGGCCCTGGTTGGCACCCAGTTATAAACCTTAATCTATTCAGAGGGTACAGACCCCTCGAATAGATTTCAAACACTGGAATCAACCCTGCCATCATGACACCTTTCCTTCCTGGGTACGTTTTCTTCCCACCTAGCTTAGTCAGCTCTACCTCATCCTCTCTACTCTCCTACGGCTGAGGGCAGTCTGCTCTCTCGTTATAATTTGAAGCCATTACAGAGTTTATTAGTAGTGCCAACGTCCTCTGGTTCCAAAATTTCCTCTCCGAAGCTGTTTTTCCTTCCACAAACAATCTTCTCAGCACATAACTCACAGAACCACAGCATGTTCAGCTCAAGTTGACATTTTCTCGGCTTCATTCATTGTGTGTCCTACTTTCTGGCTGATATGATTGAGCATTAACTATAATACACCCATCCATGGGCCTGTGTGTCCTCAAAACAGCTCAGATGAGAGGGAAGTAAGTTTATTCATGTCAGGTGAATAAATCTAATCAGTTGGCGTTACGGTTTATTTGCTTGATTAAATCGCAAGCCAGGGTACCCATTTCAAACTCCGATAAGGGTCAGATTTATTCGTTTATATAGATTTATGTTACGGGAAGTCACCCAGTATTCACGGTAACACTAAATATACAGCGTAACTAATAGAAACTGTCCAATTATTTGTAGAAACACTATTTTATTATAAGCCTTGATGCCGTTTTGTGGGGGATTCATCTCGAGAAGCTGATTGGATCGATATCGATCTTTTTCGGGATTCTCTTGTGGATGACTCCACCATCGCAACCTCTTCTTCCACGTAGATGTCCGCAGCGCAGGCACATTGTGGGATGGATAATCAAATGAAAATGAGGTTTGTGTCGGTGTAGCGGAAGGGGAAGCTGAATTGGTAAGTGGCGAGTTACTTCTACTGAATCTCGGTTCTTGGAAAGAGTTGATGAATGTCGTTCCAGGTTGTGATTGAATGGGAGTAGCAATGTCGAGACGAGCAGCATTGTTTTGATCTTGAACATCCCTGCAAATCACACTCCCCCGGTGTCTTTGATAGTGAATTGTAGATTTATGTTTTGTAAGCGGGAGGTATCTGTTGCAAAGATCGCATTGTACAAGTAATGTGCTGGTTCCGATTTCTTGGAAGATAGCGTAGTTGACGGAAGCACCTGACGGCATCTGGAATTGCACCGTCTCAGAGGGAGTTTTGGGTAAAGCGGTATAAATCTTTGTTTCTCGGCGGCTCATGGTGTCGATATATTTGATAAACCTTTTGTTCTGGGGTGTCTGCAGCAGGGAATGCTGTCTTGCGTGGTATTTATACGGATTCTTCTCAATGCTGCGCCCGTTATTGATTCTACATGTTTTGACTACGGCGCAGCTACTACGAAGCGCAGCAAGTTACTAGTCCTACTTGTTTTGACTCACAGTGGTATGCTACAGTGGGTAGGAACGCGAGGAGCAATGAGCAATCAACCAGGTTTTGCGGCGAGTGATATTGAAGTGAAGCTGGCTTGATTTAGTCTTACCTGCCTGATATATTGGACCCTGGATTCAACTCCTTTGGGACTTTGATGGGACAAGACGAAGGGAGTCGTTTTCTCGGGATCTTCCGCTCGCAGCCCCTTGCTTATGTCTGCCGAGTTGTTCAGTTACTTGATGGAGAGATGGAGATATGCGTCCGCTGCAGGCGGAGGAAAAACGCACGATGCAATTGCTAGGGCAATACATTTTGAACGTGCAGATCACTTCGCCATTGATCATCCAAGGGGTGAGACGCGTGGGCGCTAGAAGGTGCCATAAGCGAAACATCTACAGCTTCGAAGGCTGAAGCTATGCAAGCGACGGAAACAAAACCCCGTCGTGAGTCATCCCGGAGATGCGTAAAAGGATATTTCTTACAAAATGGTCTGCGGTTGACAGCTTTCATGCTTGGTGGTAAGAATCCGGGAAGGTCGGAAGCCTGTGCAGGGTGCCAAACGAACGACATGAATGAAGATAATTGTCAGTATAGGGTAAATGAATCGTTCAACACTGAGGCGATTATCACCCAGTTATCACCGTTGTGAGGGTCGCGGATAGTATCCCAGTTCATAATGAAATTCAGTAACGGCAAGGCCATCGCATCGATACAAGAATTCGCAGCAACACACAACACTAAAGAAAACACGGGGGGATACTGTGGGGTACAAAGATCTGATAAGCGACCAGCCAGATTGATGTAAGGCAAGAGACATACATAAGCGATTTTATACAACCTTCTCTCTCACAGTTAGCAAGCCACGTTGGCTCTGTTAATCTTTCATCTGAACATCGTGATCGTCTTCAGTATCATCTTCCTCGAGCTCCTCTTTTCCCTTGAACCCGGCTTTGGCGAGGGCCTCTTTGGAGGTGTAGTCGACCCTAACACCACGAGTGCGCCGGCCCTGCGGAAGGATGACCGATGGGTCTATCTCTTCGAGAGCGTCTTCGTCCTGAATATGTATTAGCATTGATCTAGATCAGGGAGGGAGGCGCGAGAAAAGAACGCGCGACGTGTTATGTACCTCATCATCATCCTCTTCTTCGTCCGAGCCGCCTTGCTCTTCTTCCTCTTCCTCCTCTTCGTCTTCGTCCATGGGATGATCAACTTTCGCCTTTGCTTTGCCTTTGCTCGATGGTGACGCGTTGGCGTGGCTAGATTTATTCCTGGCAACGCCCAACGCGTCAGCACAGAGTGTGGTGCATAGGAACAAGACTTTACTTGTTGCCAGACGGGCTTGTTACATTGGACGACATGGCGACGATGTGGTTTTGGTTCAAGAGCGCGATGAATGGTGTTGTTTGAGGTTGTTGTACAGAAGAGTCGTCACGTTTAATTTGTCACGTCACGTTCACTCAATCATTTGTGCTCTGCCTCGACCCCTGTTTTGAATACTTAATCGCTACATTCCAACCCTTTCCCCATGTTGCAGTTCTTCAATAAATCCAGTGAGTTGTCGTAACTAAAATTCCAGTGAAACGGAGACGATACCGCCGAGTTAGATCTGACAAAACCACAGTGGGATATATTTCTGATGTCCGGAGATTAGGACACATGGCATTGGCGCTAGCATCAATCTGGCACGCTCGGGCAACCTCCCGATTGCCACTGACACTTTCAAGTTTCAACGCATGGCTGACATCGCATTTCATTTGAAAGAGAAGCGCCAGTTCCTGATTATGATTGTTCTTCTTCCCTCTTTTCCGAAATGCTCGAGACTGTGAAGAAGGACTTCACTTATGACCGCCGTGGTTCGGAGCCATCCACGTCCACTCTCTCATCGTCGCTCTCCTCTCGTTTCTCTGCATCGGTTCGGCTTCCATATCGCCGCCGACGGGGAGGAGTTGTAGATGACAATCACCCAGGACACGAAAAGCTCTCCTTACTATCTCTCTCTCTCTCTTCGCCGTCTTTCCTAGAGTCCGTCGTCAAGGACAATCGCTCGGACAAACCAGTGTACACCATTCAGACATCCGAGTGCACTACTTCTGTCATTCGAACGGACGCACATAATGCTTCAGTCAATGTTGCGTGTATAAAGTGGCCGAAAACGCTCCCGACGAGAGTCAAAGGGAAGGAAGCGACGAGCGGTGTGCTGTTACAGATGAAGGGTACGTGGTGGAATGATGGAGACAACTTTTTGAGGCCGCCAACACAACTGAGGTCACTAACACTCTTTTCTTGTTGACGAGGCTCTCACTATCCCTCTCTAACAGCTCCGGCCGCAAGTTCAATATCCCCAACTACTCACACCACATGCAATGGAAACGACGGCGTAACGGCTCGTACTGGGTTCGTCTTATACCCCCATCCTCATACTGGCGCTCACTAATTTATTTTTACAGTGCACCACCCCCTCCGTAAAAGGTCCCATCGCAACCCTAGACGCTGCCTCCCCTTCCTCTCCCCCAAAGATCACCATATTCGAAACATTACACGACAAACATGACTCACGTTCCGTCCACATCCACCAGGGCGTCTCCATCGTCTTGCTAGACTATATAATAACCTCGGCACTTTTATTGGTGACAGACGTCCAGGAGTGGATGGTGGTGCGAAAGTACGATGAAGAGCTGCCCACTGATAAAGATAATGGACGTGCAGGTTTGGAGACAGGACTGAGCGACTCACAGTGGCGGAAGGTCATGTTTGGGGTGCCTTTGTACCCCACATTGACGGACGATGCTGAGGTCCCTCCCACACCAGTTTCGAAGGACAACCACAGTCACTTGAGATCAGAGCTATCTCTCTCGGACGAAGACGACGACGACTCGGAAGGTCCCACCCGCCCCCCAAGTCCTTCGGCAGAGTCGATGTATTCACCATTATCAGACCCCTCGGCCCCGTCGCACACATACATCGACCCACTATTTTATTCCAAAAACCGCCCACCTATACCCACAATTCCTCTCCAACATACCCAGTCTTTTCATAATGCTAGACATGTTCCTACTTCGAGGCCATCCACGCCCTCATCTCCTTCCAGCTCTCGGCTACTACCACTCTCCACTGGGCAGAGTACTTATACGAGCCCATCCCTCTTCCCAAACAAAGGCGCCATTCAACATACAAACGAAGATCCTGCGTCCGCTACTACCCAGACGCTCCCAGCTGAGGCCTCGCCGCTTTACCCACACGCGCCAAGTCAAACAACAACAACAATAGGCGCGAGACCACTTCCCCGACCTCCCCGACGGGCGGCGAATCCTGACACGATCGATGAAAATGACGTTGACATTCGTGCGATGACCCTGAAGCGCGCGCAAAGTCATGCGGATATGCTCTCTCCAGCCATAGCCGTACACAGAACGACAACGACCACACGCACACAACGCTCATTACCACCCACCCCCGGCTCACTCTCCCCTTCCCCGCTTTCTCCTTCCACACCCTCTACCCAAACCCACTTGACGCCAGCCCCGCACACACCCATTACACAAGACTCGCATCGCCAACGGCCGCCACTTACTAAAGGCTCTGCGGAGGATTTGACGCGGTGGGTGCACCTCCTTACGAGCAGCAATGCAAGGGACTTGCCGCCTGAGCCGTTGCCCCAGACGGCGGTGTTTGATGTGCCCCCTCCGGCGTATGATAGCATTGCGTTTGATAGAAGGAGGAGTGCAGGTGGGGGGTAGGGGTGTTGGGCTGATACCCATCTGTACGCGCCTTTTCTGACCGCGCAGAAGTGAAGTTTCTCTTGCATGATCCTTTTCGTTTTTTCATCTTTCTCGGTTCACAGGCGATTGGATCGCAGCATATTCAAATAAATGTATCACTAGGTTAATCGTGCAATCTCTTATTCTCTACAAGTTGAACTTTTCTTTTTATTCATTCATCCTACATAGTTTATCCTTGCATTTTTACTCCCTTTAAAGACTTTGTACGTTGTCAAGAACCGCGTTCACTTACATTATACCATGACGTACAACCTTCCTTTAACTCAAACACGTAGGACATATGCACATGTACGCATGAATGCATGATCGTTGAAGACTTGAACATCTGAACTATGAGTGTGTACCAAGTTTTCGACTGGCTTAGACACTGCCGAATAGAATCAACGCAGTGTGATATATGGCTCTTCGTGTAGATCAGTGTCATTAGCGTAGTAGTCGCTGGATGTTATTCTCTATTCAACGAACAAAGAGAAAAAGTGAATTAGAGGCTGATACAAAAGAATAGATCTGTTGGCGTACTGGGCAGTAAAGCGGGTAAAGACATCAAGTCCAGCGAATTAGTAGCCGGGCTCGTGTTTGTTGGGGTACGTCTTATTGGGGAGACGTGCAGCCTCAGTTTTCGGGACTTTCACGAGTATCTAATCGCCTCATGATCTTTTTTGCCTTCGTTTTTGCCATGGATCAAGACTTACGACTGTAAAGCTCTCCCCAAGCGTAATCAACGTCCTTCGAAGCCTCCTGATAGATATTTTTGTGTTCTCTTCCAGGCTCATAAACACCATAGCCAGCCAATTGACCCACCCGTTTATGAGGCAGCCTCAATGGTCACTGGCACCGCGATGACCTGCAAATAGTTGACGACGCCTAGGCCGAAGGCGTCCTGACAAGCCAGAATGATTCGAGACTTGCGTCGAGGTTCCCTAATCGCACATCGCCATTTCATGAACCTGTTGAAAATTGAAGGTTAGACTGGAAGATGGGCGTATTTCGAAATAATACTACCGGACGCTATGAAGTCCGAATATCGCAGACTCGCAAGCGCGGTGACCCATCGTGGCGTTTGAATGAGACCTTCGGTACTTGAGGTGCGACTTTTGCCAACCGTGACCGCGAGGACTTGTAGATCTCCTAGACGTCGTTCAGCTTGCCTCTTCCATATGTTTTCGTCGTGTCCCGCGACGTATTGGAACCTTTTCGGGCGAGTTCTTCCCGTGCATAAGTAGAATCTGCGCGCTGCCTTTGGCGCCGCTTGGAGTTGGTTTTTTGGAGGCGACCGTGGAAAAGGCTGAGATAGCAGATGATCGGAAGATCGGGCCGGAACTTCAACGACGCTCAATAAATGAGCACGACGTCCAAAATGTTCTTCCCTCTTTACTTGCCCTCCTTTTCTCCCATAATATCCACCCATCATGAGCCCAATTGCTGAGAATGGGACCCCACAGAGGGTATTCATTGTTGTCATGGTTCGTTTTTGCTCAGACTTCACATTATCCCAACTCACTACATACCCCTAACTAACATATGCATACCTACACAGGGCGTATGCGGCACGGGAAAATCTACACTCGGATCCGCACTTGCCAAATCGCTAGGGTTCCCATACGTCGAAGGAGATGACCTGCACCCACAAAGCAATGTCGAGAAGATGGCAAGTGGGACGCCGTTAACTGATGCGGATCGGGAGCCGTGGTTGGCTTTGGTTAGAAGGACGGCAGAGGATATGACGGCGCAGAAGCAGAACGGAGTGGAGAAGAAGGACGGACAGAAGGTGGAGGAAACAAGCGGGAAAACGGGGGTCGTGATCAGCTGTTCAGCCTTGAAGAAGTACTATCGGGAAATATTGAGGGGGAACCCATCTCCTTCTTCTCCTTCGGAACGCAAACTCTCCACTTCCAATGCCGATACGCTATCGACGTACTTCGTATTCATCAACGGCTCTCGCTCCATCCTCCTCGAACGTATGGAAAAACGACCAGGGCATTTCATGAAAGCTGGAATGCTGGACAGCCAACTTGGGACGTTGGAGAGCCCGGAGGGCGAGGATGGGGTGGTCGTCGTTTCTGTGGAGGATAGCACGGAGGAGCAGGTTAGGCAGGCGAGTGAGGCGTTGAGGAATGTAGTTGGCGTTCCTAAATTGTAGATTGTAGTTCGCCGATAAAAGACACGTCAACAGGTCGGTTGTTGAATATCTATATCATCACGACTATCTTATACATAGCCAACAGGTATTCAGAACCATCACAAGCATCTTTCCAGAAGGTCTGCCCCGTTCCCCTCTAACAGAAGAGAAATAGGCTTACCGTCTACCTTTTCATCTTGTGTGAACAGGTTATTCGTGGAGACTGGAGTGCTAGAGCCGGGCGAGTCCCAGAGCACTGGCAAAGTCCAATACGTTCAAGTGGAAAAACTAGACACCACCCAAATGCCACCTTCGGTTTGTATTGTCCTGCTCGCAACGCAATGTAAATTCCACTCACGTCTGCAGAGTGTTCAGTTTTCTTGACGGAGAACCGGAGGGATGCGTCAACGGCGCCGCAGGCGGACAACGTATCGAGTCTCGAATTTGCTCACATACACGTGTGCCAAGCAAAAGGTCGACAACTTTGAAGCTATGCAAGTGACGGAAACAACGTCGTCATGGTTCATGCCAGACTTCAAGATTGAGCGCTGAGCTTGGGGCCTTGAGGCCTCCTCGCCTTTCTTTCCAACAACTCCACTTTCATCTTCTCATTCACCTCGACGGCTTCCCCCTTCACCACCACCATGTTTCCTCTGCCTCAATTCGCACTCGCCCTCCTCTTCTTCCCTCTTACAGCCCTCGCAGACCCTATCCACATTCCACTCACTCGTCGCTCCTCAGGGAATCGTGATATCAACTATTATGCCTCTGCAGCGAAGCATCTGCAGGCCAAGTACAACATACCGGGGAGCTTCTCCTCAGCTCACGGAAAGAGGGCGAGCTCTGAATCAATACAGACCATCAACCTCGTAAGAATCTTGTTCCGTTTCCATATATCTTAGCGAATTTACCGTTTTTCCAGCTATCAGATTCGGTTTATCTTGCACCTGTGAGCGTAGGAACACCGTAAGTCAATCTGATAACGTCGCGCGCACCTGTCAGGCGGCCCGGGTGCCTCTAGTGGCCCTCTTGGGCGCCAAAGAATATAAATCACGTTTTCCCCCTCATTCTTCAGATAGAGCTGGGAGTACGCTACGGCCAATTTTTTTCTATGTCATAGTTCAGGTCGAATAAGTACTCAATTGTTATCCTGTTCAACAGACCACAGACATTCAATGTCATCCTCGACACAGGATCATCCGACCTTTGGGTCGCAGACACATCATGCAACGCATGCAATTCTACGACACCGCTATTCAACCCCTCGAAATCCTCGTCAATCACTTCATCGTATACCAATGTCACTATCTCTTATACATCGAGCAACGTGTCTGGAACACTAGCACAAGATGTGGTCTCCATGGGCAATTTCAGCGTTCAAAACCAAACACTTTGCATGTTCACTCCCTCTATGAGTTCAATTTGTCAAATGCTTACTTTCTTACGTTGACCAGTGACCGTTGACCGCGTCCCGGATGACTTTTCCCCACTTGGCCTTTCAGTATCGGGAATCATGGGTCTTGCGTTTTCCGCCATTGCTGCCACGAACTCGACTCCATTTTGGCAGGCGTTAGGAAGTCAACTGGCTGCCCCTGAGATGGCTTTCTATCTTACTCGATTCCAGGATGATGTGAATGCCAAGGATGAGGAACCAGGAGGTGTGTTCACCCTCGGAGGAACAAATTCGACGCTCTATACTGGTGATATTGAATTCCTCAATATGACTTTGATTTTTGGTACACCAACCTTTTGGCTTCTCACCATGCCTGGTCAGTGTCATAGGAAAACATCCAATTTGAGCTAACGTCGTTTAATCCGTGTAGCCATCACCGTGCAAGGTCGGTCCGTTCAAATCACGACAGGCAACGCCGCTCCAGTGGTCATTGACACTGGCACTACTGTTATCGGTGGTCCAACCGCTGACGTCAATGCCATTTGGGCCGCCGTTCCGGGCTCAGCCCCTTTCGTGAGCTACCCAGGATTCTTCACTTTCCGTCAGTGACAATTCTTTCTTCGCTTTTCAATTTTGTAATCCTACTATGCCCAGCGTGCTCTACCTCGCTTCAAGTGACACTTTCCTTCGGGGGCAAGGCTTGGCCGATAAGTGAGGCCGACATGAACCTTGGCCAGATTTCGAATGGAAGCACGCGATGCGTCGGAGCCATCATCGATCTCAACCTCGCTAGTAACATTTCTTCTAGCTCGAGTCATTACTGGGTTGTTGGGGATACTTTTTTGGTTTGTTGACTCCTTTCGAATGGCACAACGTATGAGGCTGAATTCCCTCCTTGTCGCCTTGCAGAAGAACGTGTATTCTGTCTTCCGTGCTGATCCTCCTTCAATTGGGTTCGCGCAACTTTCTAGTGTGGCGGGTGGATCAGGTGAGAGAGACTGCAGTCTGGCCTTCCCGGTGACCTCATTGTTACTCCTCCCCCTCCCAGGCGCTCCAAACGGCAGTACGTCCTCACCCCCAACCACGGGCTCTAGAAGCAGCAGCATACCCTCACCGACAACCACCGGAAGCAAAAGTCTTGGCAAAAGTACTTTCCCTCCTAATCTCTGTCTATCTATTTCTGACGTGTCGTTTCACTACAGATGGCGGATCATCAGCCAAAATCACATTGCCTGTCTTGATGACCACGGCAACGATGGCTGTCCTCATGTGCTTGCTGTAATTCATAAATTCTCGATGTCCTCGCACACATTCAATGTGAGGGTGTTATGAACTCATTGCTGCTGACATTGTATCAGTATTTATTCATACAAGTGGACTATGGTCGATAACTGCGGTTTTGTGGATTCATAATTCAACCATTATTGACAATATTACTTATATCGCTTGTCGGCTAGATGCTTGCATACATATGATAAATGGTAGATTATGGCTCATGCTGGAATGCCGTACAGGCTTTAGTTTTAATTGGGCGTCTTTTTGGTTCCTGGCGTAGGGCTCCTCGCCTTTCTTTCCGCTGACAACTCCATTCTCATCTTCTCATTCACCTCGGCGGCCGCTCCCCTCTTCACCACCATGTTTTCCCTCCCTCAATTCATACTCGCCGTCCTGGTCTTCTCTCCCACTGCCCTCGCAGACCCCATCCACGTTCCACTCACTCGTCGCTCCTCAGGCAACCGTGATATCAACTATTATATTTCTGCAGCGAAGCATCTGCAGGCCAAGTACAACATTACGGGGAAATCCTCCTCACCTCACGGAAAGAGGGCGCCAAGTTCTGCATCAATACCGATCCTCAACCTGGTATAAACCTCAATCCGTTGCCACATATCCCAGCGAATTTACCGTCTTTCAAGCAAGGAGATTTGATTTATCTTGCACCCGTGAGCATAGGAACACCGTAAGTCAATTGATGCACGTGGAATATTTGTAGGGTACTCTCGGGGACTTCTAGTAGACCTCTTGGGCGTCAAAAAATTAAAATCATATCTTCGCCGTCGTTTGAGGTTCTACAGATCGCGTTGGGACTTGGGAGTACGAGACTAAGTGCAAAGTTGTTGACGAATGTTGTCCTGTTCAACAGACCACAATCATTCAACGTTATCCTCGACACAGGATCATCCGACCTTTGGGTTGCAGACACGTTATGCACCTCCTGCAGTTCTGGGGCACCGTTATTCGACCCCTCAAAATCCAAATCAATCACTTCAGCGAATGTCGGTCTCAGGATCCGTTATGGATCTGGGACTGTGGGTGGAATAATAGCGCAAGATGTGGTCTCCATGGGCAAGTTTAGCGTCCAAAAGCAAACAATTTGCATGTTAACTTTCTCTATGATCTCAATTTGTTAGATGCTTATTCTCTTATGTTGACCAGTGGCCGTTGACCGCCTCACGGATGGCCTTCTCGCGGGTTCAGCATCAGGACTCATGGGTCTCGCATTTCCTGCCCTTGCTAGCACGGCCTCAACTCCGTTCTGGCAGGCTTTAGGAAGCCAGCTGTCTGCCTCTGAGATGGCCTTCTATCTTACACGGTTCAACGATGATATCAATGCCAAGGACGAAGAACCAGGAGGTGTGTTTACCCTCGGAGGAATAAATTCAACGCTCTTTACTGGTGATATTGAGTTCCTCGATATGCCTTCGGGTACACCAACCTTTTGGCTTCTCACCGTGTCTGGTTAGTGTCTTAGGAAAACAAGCAAACCGAGCTAACGTCGTCTGACCCGTGTAGCGATCACCGTGCAAGGACAATCTGTTCAAATCACGACAGGCCGGGCTGCTGTAGCGTCCATTGACACTGGCACCAGCCTTATCGGTGGTCCAACTGCTGATGTCGATGCTATTTGGGCAGCCGTTCCGGGCTCAGCCCCTTATGCGAAACAGCAAGGATTCTTCACTTTCCGTGAGTGACAATTCTTTCTTCTTTTTGAAAAAGTCTGTAATTCCTACTATCCCCAGCGTGCTCTACCTCGGTTCAAGTGACCCTTTCCTTCGGGGGCAAGGCGTGGCCGATAAATGCGACCGACATGAGCCTTGGCCAGATTTCGATTGGAAGCTCACAATGCCTTGGAGCCATCTTTGACCTCGGCCTCGGCAGCGACATTCCTTCTGGCTCGGGTAATCCCTCCTGGCTTATTGGGGATACCTTTTTGGTTTGTTGATTCCTTTCGCATGGCAGATCGTATGCTGATTTTCGCCTTGCAGAAGAATGTGTATTCTGTCTTCCGTGCTGACCCTCCTTCTATTGGGTTCGCGCAGCTTTCTAGTTTGGCTGGCGGATCAGGTGAGAGAGTGTAGTCGAGCCTTCTCTGTGACCTCGTCTTTACTCTTCCCCTTCCAGGCGCTCCAAGCGGTAATGGTTCCTCAACGACAACCACGGGCTTTGGAAGCAGCAGTGCGTTTCCCCCTACTATCTGCGTATCTTTTTCTGACGTTTCAATTCGCTGCAGATGGCAGATCATCAACCATAATTACTTTGCCTGCCATGATGACCACCGCAATGATGGCTGTCCTTATGTGCTTGCTGTAATCCAAGAATTCTCGATGTCTTTTCACGCATTGAATGTGAAGGTTTATACGCCCACTATTGCTAAAATTGTATTAGTATGTATAAATACCAACGGACTATGGGCTGGGATGTCGTCGAACTTTCATAACTGTGCTTTTTGTATTAATTTAGTGACTTTGATTATTGTTGAGCTGTAGGAACAGGGAAGGAAGCATGGCACTTACCATTATATGTCATACGTATTAAAGGTGATGGGTGTCTGTAAAAAAATCAAAGTTGAGTACGTTTGACGTGAAATTACGAGTTGTAGTTTAAGTGGCTTTGGTAGAGATAAGATAACGGGAATTGCCGAGTGGGCGACGCGTGTGCTTAGCTTTGAGACGACGCGTCAGTTCGTCACTCTTCAAATCTCTTCATTTCAAGATGGTGTGTATAGGAAATTGCTGCTGGTTTATCATGAATCTGACTACCGATTAGGCCAGGCGATATGATAGTAAGCTCTACTATCACCCTATATCCAACCAACCAACCACCTAATCAAAATCATATAAGGCCGAACAACCATCTTCTCACCAGAAGGTGTGTCCCCTTCCATCTCTCTTTCTCTCTTCGACCATTAATCCACATTCTAATCACCCCACAGGTCGGCTATACCAAAGTACGCATCCCCCATTACCCTGCCTACTCATGAGCTAACACATTCTTGCGCAAAAGTCGAATATGCAATGGAAGCCATCTCGCACGCCGGTACCGTCCTCGGTGTCCTAGCAAAAGACGGGGTAGTTCTCGCAGCTGAGAAGAAAGTAACAGGAAAACTGCTTGATCTGTCTAGTGCGAAAGATGGGGGGTACGGTGGGAGTGGAGAGAAGATTTATTTGCTCAATTCGTGTGTTCTGCCTTTCTCGTCTTCTTTGTCATTCAATTGGACGAACTGTTTATAGGAACGTGATAGGCGGTGTAGCAGGCCTAACGGCTGATGCGAACTCACTCATCAATTTCGCGAGGACGGCGGCGCAGAGTCATTTGTTGACGTACAATGAGGACATCCCAGTTGAGTTGCTCGCGCAAAGGCTATGTGATATGAAGCAGGGGTATACTCAGTTCGGTGGTACGCACGTCTCTCCTTCCTTCCTTTTTCCTTTCCTGGCATCTTGTCCCCTCCCATTCCTCCTTGTCTTTCTATCGAAATGCCCAACCACCCACCCATTTATAGGTCTCCGCCCATTCGGCGTCTCCCTGCTCTACGCAGGCTATGATCCGCATTACCACTTCCAGCTCTACCACTCCGACCCGTCGGGTAACTACTCAGGCTGGAAAGCAACCTGCATCGGCGCGAACAACGGCACGGCGCAGAGCCTGCTCAAGCAGGAGTATAAAGACGACATTGAGGTGAAGGACGCCATTGGCCTGGTGTTAAGGACGATGAGCAAAACGATGGATAGTACGACGCTGGGCAGCGAGAAGTGTGAGTGTCTTTTTTTTTTGTTGGTTTTGGCTTTGGACATGAGTTGATGACTGACGATGGCGTAGTGGAGTTTGCAGTGTTGACGTTGGATGAGGTGACGAAGCAGCCCAAGGCGAAGATATACAAGCCTGCGGAGATCAATGCGCTGTTGCTTGCGGAGGGGTTGGAGATGAAAGCTTGAATGGGGATTTTTTGTATTTCTACGAGCTACTTATGCTCAATTCATCGTTGCATGGGATACCATTTGGTTAAGAGCCATGAGTAATTCAACACGGCGGGAAGTCCTGAGGGTCAAACTCTGATCATACCTCCCCGCCTCGAAATTGAGAATCACCATCTTCTACACACATCTTTTCTTCCGAACCGTTCATCACCCACTCCTCTGACGATGATTTAACCAGCCCTAGTTATGTAGAGGCACGAGCTTCAGCACAAACAACCTGAGTCATTCATGTATTGACCCCTCGCGGCGGGCCACACTTTCACCACCACACCACGGCACAACGCCAGACCCACCCCGAATGATCAAAGCACTCCAACCTACAAAGGTCCAATCAGATAACGTTCTCCTTTGAATCCAAAGGGTATGACATCCTCCACAATGGCCGACACCAAGACCCAGGTCATCCAAACATACGAAGGGCACCCAACCTACTCTTGTTTGAAGTGCGCTGCTGTTATCGTACGCGTTTCATACCTCCCTTTTACAGCGTCTGCTCATGTTTATGTGAAATTGCATAGACACTACAAGATGAACTTATAAGTAAAGCCTTTTCAGGTCGGGATGGACGGGGGTTGTGCGTCTTGCCGCCATTCGTAAACTCTGTGGTCTGCTGACGGAGAGGGTGGGCTAGTTTAATGCAATCAGCGGTGAACGTCAAGCTTGGACGAAGGGAGGACCGGTCGTTGTTGTACGTCCCCCCTTCCATTCCCCTTCACTGTAATTCATCCGCTGATATCCTTATACAACGTAGGACGGGCGTGCACACGGTAGCTGACGTGTTTTGCCTAGGATGTAATGAACGGTTGGGATGGTATTATCATAAAGCTGCTGATCATATGCAGAAGTATAAGGAAGGTGAGTCGTATCATGTCGTTGGTATCGAAGTGGCACTTATCAAACTTGATGTAGGGAAATACCTCCTTGAGAGGGAGAAATTGGTCAAGGAGAATGCTTGGGTGTTGGATGAGTAGTTGTATCTTTTGTACCATTTTGATTTTCTGCGGGACTTTGCAATCTAACGCCTTGTTAACATGATTTTTAGATGAGCCAGAGCTACCTGAAGCTGATACGGGCTCCCAGAGCGAGGATATCGTCATGGAGATTATGATTATCAGTGCAATGACCTTTGGGTATCTGGTGCTTGAACTTAACCGTCCGACGTTCAAGCTGTCCTTCAGTTGCACGTTCAACACACTCTCATGCCAGAATTCCAGTATATTGAATTTAATCACATAATATTGAATGGAAACCTTGAACCCCCACGCAAGTCTAATCCCAAAAACTCGTCGAGAAATTGAAGTTCACAGCTGGGTTTCCGTTCAAACAAGGAAACTTCTCTCGGAACAGCCTCTCCGATTCGCGTAACTCGGCGCTCTCAGAGTCCGGATCTGCCGGAGGGGAGTAGAACAAAACAACATTGATTGAAACTGTGTGCAGTCGAGGAAAGCCACGAGATAACACGACATCCAGCTGTCCCCATTCATTTTGAATGGAAATCGGCAAGTAGTGCCAGCCTTCGGGCAGTGAGATCTCAAGGTCCAAAGTTTCCAGAACGTTGGGTTGAGGGAACATCTGGAGTTTCTCACATAGGCCTTGCAGAAGGGATTCACTGAATAGTTTGCCCTGTCCTCTCCAGTTCTTCAGCATCAAAAAGTGGCTGAAATCAGGCCAGTCGGTAGACTCGGTACCCGCCATAATTCCTCCACACGCGAACGTCTCCAATCCAGTTGCTTCTTTGCAGATATCCTCTATGACCTGCATCTCCTGTTTGGGATGATAGTAAGGGACGATGAGCGTCTCGAGTCTGTCGAATCTGATCAACGGATGGCCATCGCTGTCACGATAACGGAGAAGTGCCAATGCAAACGCGGTAGAGGATACAACTTCGAATGAGCGCAGTTGGGGAATGTTCATGGGTTGGGGCGAATGTGGTGACATCCTCGCTTGATCGTTGGGCTCTGGCTTTCCAGAGTCCTCCACGTAGTTGATCATCAAAGCCGAAAGATTGACGCAGGATCGAAATATTGTGACGGGAATCACAAAAGCCTCAATGGATAATTCTGTCAAGGAGGCGGAATGGATGCAATTCAGAATCGGCTGTTGAAGGGTGGCATGGAGGGAGTTCCACGATGTTATGCTTCCGCGGATGGACAGCTTCTCCACGAATGGTGTTTGTGTCAGAGTTTGGATGTTTTCATGCACAGCAGCCAGATCCTGAGTGTTCTGTTTTCCGGGGACCCACTCAGAAAGCCTGGGGTGAATGTGTAACACCAGCTTCCGAACATGTTGTCCAATGCTTGGATTGTGCCGAAAGACTCTTATAAACATTTTTGGGGTTGGTGAAATAACGAGTTTCACAGATCGGAAAAGACGTCGGTGGCATGAGTGATGAATTGCATGAGATGTTCCGGAAATGCGTGTTAGAGCGACGATATCATCCTGAAGATGGTCAATTATCAATTCAATGATCTCTGTTGGAAAGACCGGGGACTTGGGAAGGTGTTCAGAGTCCATTGTGGTCAGTGACTAGTGAGTACTAGTGAGTCTTTGGATTGCAAGATGATGTTGTATGTGTGATTGCCAAAGCTTGATTTGGACAAAGATCACGTCGCACCATACATAACTATCACCACCTCTTCACCACCACCACCGCTGTCCGTAATGAACCACGACACTGCACACGCAGGGCACAATATGCCCACAGGCGGCGGCGGCCCTCGCTGTTCAATGAACATGTTGTGGTCAGTCAGTCTCTCAGGCTGTATATCTCCCCTCCTTACTGACCCCTTCTTCCTCCCCAACTACAGGAACACAGACATAATCAACACATGCATCGTCTTCCGCTCCTGGCACATCCACACGCATACTCAATTCGTCCTCTCACTCCTCGCCATCGTCTTGCTGGGGGTTTTCTATGAGTACCTCCGTGTTGTGCAGCGCAGCTTGGATCGCCGTATCGCGCTGGGTCTCAATGCAGCCAAGGGGAAGATCAGAGTCCCGAGTAGGGGGAGCAGCCCTGGTGCGGAGGGCGCTGAGGGGTTGGAGGACTCGTTGCTTGGGGGACGGAATGGACGCGCGGTTAAGTCGGCTTTGAATGGGTAAGTTGGGTTTGAGCAGACTCCCACTCCCAGAGAGCGGACTGATAATACGTTTTTACACAGAACTCCGGTGGCTCCTGTGTCAAGGGCCCTCCGTGCGGCCTTGTATGGCGCCACCGTGTTCCTATCCTTCTTCCTCATGCTGGTGTTCATGACGTACAATGTGGGTCGTTCTTCTTTCTTTCTTCCCTATGTCTCTCAGCTAATGTTTGGTGGGCGTAGGCATATTTGATCATAGCCGTCGTCGTCGGCGCTGCCCTTGGTCATTATATTTTCGGCGCAACCATGAACGTTGATGCAATTCTTGTTGATACCCAGGGAGGCAAGGGCATGGCGTGCCATTAGCCCTCCTATCATGGACTCTTTCGCTACTATCTTGTAAATGATCTAAGTATGAGATGATAGTATTCCACTTGTTTTGAGAGCTCGGCCCTCTCAGATCACCTCATTGCCATTGTTGGTCACTTTATCTTCGGCTCTCAGTTGCTTTTCAACTGAACGCCATGAGGGCGTACCGTTAACATGATATCTTCCAATTTTTCTTGTTGGGTCGGTGAAACAGCAGATATAGCAAGATTGTGATAATTTCAAGGCGCACAAATTGAGTTGGCACTGAGTGAGTATGTCATCCGAATTCTTTTGCTCTTTCACTGCTCTAATGAAGGGTCTTATGTCGGAAAAATCCGTGATGCCTTATAATAGCAATGGATTACAAGGCTGGCGGGAGCTATTGTAGTCACGTTATAATGAATCACGTTGCGTGATAAGATCAATCACTAGCACTAGAGGTTGACTTCGTCAACAAAACCTCGCTTCTGTATTGTAAATACATTAGTAAGAGTTCTTAGTCCCTCAGCTTCACCCAGCGAAAAAATTTCCAAAATGTTTGAATTGAACTCGACCATTTTCCTTAACATAAACCTCATTTTTAATCTTATCCTTTTATTTTTTGTTTCTTCATGAGAACTCCGTTGGAGCATTGAAGTTGAATATCTAGGTTGTCGATGGAGGCCACTGCTCGTCGTCCGGCCTTCGGCCGACTCCTCGCAGCGGCAACGAGCAGTGTTATCAACTGTAAGCATATAGTGAAGTCATATTATTTGCACCATGTTTGTGGAAGAGTGAGATGTTTGTTCCAATCTTGAACAATATGACCTCCAGCAAGTCCTATTATTTGCGCCATGTTTGCGGAAGAGTGACATGTTTGTTCCAATCTTGAACAATATGACCTCCAGAAAGTCCTATTATTTGCGCCATGTTTGCGGAAGAGTGACATGTTTGGTTTGCTTAGAAATATGAAGCTGGGAGACCTAGCTAAAGCGAGGTGACTGCGTTCCGCCCCGATTTGTTTTTGGAGGGTAACATGAGTAAACACGACAATTTCAAGTCTTGTTTTGCATGGACTCTTCCGGGCATCCACATGTTGCTTTTGGCAGATATTACACCACTTTCTCATCTAATCTCAAGTAGAATGCCTCAGCTTTTTCTGTCAAGTAGTGGGGATGTTATCTTATTACTTTTGTGAAACAGAATCAGTTTTTCAATCTTTTTTTTTCATGACAGTGTGCAATTATATAGCATAACAATTTTCACAACGATTGAAAAAAAGAACGGTCCAAGAAAAGCTGCAGCTTGCAGGTCTCTACCACCACCCAAGCATGGACCAATCCAACGCGACGACTCAGCCTATATCCTTTGATCGTGACCAACCAAACCCTGCCTCAGGACACTTTGGAATGTCAACCCCTCTATGCATGGTGTCAGTTAACAAGCAATGTTCATCATGATTGTCAGAGCTGACCTCCTTATTCACCGCCAGTCCAAACCCACAAGGAATGATAGGCATGTCCCCGAACATGTTTTACCCTGCACAACATCAGGATGATGCAGCGGTGGAAATGTTTATGCCACATGGCCCACACACCTACAAGCGCAGCTGCATTGACAGCGAGGGGACCGTGGCTATGTACAACGGTGACCCGAACATGTTTGGGTCCTTCAAACAGAGTAACATGGGGATTTACAATATTAGTGGGCAAGTGACGCACCTGAGCCAGATGTTGACTGCACTGGTGGAAAGGGCAGATAGGGTTGATAACAGTGTTGCAGCACTCGAGCAAAAACACGATGCACAGCTTCAGTTGCTTCTGAAACGGATAACTGAACTTGAATTACAGGAGAAGGAAACTGAAGAAGAAACTGTGAAAGAAAAAGGAAAAGGGGGCACTGCCAGAAAATACACTCAACATCTCCAAACTATGTATACTATCATAGGCACACACAGCTGTACTGAATTCATGAAAATAGGCAAAGGTCCATGCCATGTACACAAACATGTTACATTACTTAGTCACAGCCTCAAAATCAAGGCATCACAGGGTCATACAACAGAGTCTTTAGCCTCCATTTCAACAACATTTCAGAAGCAACCACCAAAATTCCATTCAAACATGCTGCCACAACCCTTCCTTATCACAGCCAGCAAGGTCACCTCCCTCACGTTTGCTTGCAAAGTGCTCAAACTTCCTGCTTCACATGTTTTCTCCTGGAATGGTCATACAGACAATAACAACCCTGTTGGCTCATAGTGGAAAAAATAGGTGGCGTCAGTTGGGCATCAAGCTCTTGATCACTGGCATGAGATTCAGAACAGCCAAGTCACAGCATGTTTCAAGCAGTGTTGGCTTGACCCCTTTGACTTGGTCAATAACCAGGGTCAAGTCAATGGTCAGTCAATGATTGACCGGTCAGTCAAAAAAAGGTCAAAGGGGTCAATGTCATGCGGTTCAAAATTGATTGATTGAATTTATAATGTACCTCGGAGGCTTGAAAGAGGTCCTATGCGACACCACTGTACCTGTAGCAGCAGATGTAGAATTTTAAACTTGACATTGACATTTTCTGTCTGACCGCTGTATCTACATGCCACCCAAATCACCTCTCTGGGAGCATTTCTATGCCAATCAGACAAAATACAAGGGCAACAGTACTCACAACAACACATGGTGCAAGTATTGTGTCCAGGCACATATCTGCGCAAAGCAGGAGGCAGACCACAAAGCAGTTGAAAGGGGAGAGTGTCGCTTTGTGCGCTCAGAAAAGGACTTTTTAGAGGATGGTCAGTAGATATATCCTGTCAACTGCTTGGCCTTTCTATTTACATCATGCCATCAGGTTCTGTGTATCTAGCTGTGTACCCCAAAGTGGGGAAGATTGACACCCTCAAGTCCCACCTGTTAAAGGGCTGCGAGCACATACCTGCAGAAGTTAGAGCTGAGCTGGATCGAAGCCTTAAACGACCTACCCCAACAGTCACGCCGAATGCAAGCTTCTCCAAGGCTGTGCCCACCCAACCAGCAGACACAGAGAATGGCCGAGGTCCCAAGCAAAGGAAGGCGAGTGGGGAGCGGGATGTTTTCGAGAGTGACTTGGTTAATTGGTTCGTCGCATGTGGCATCCTGTGGAATGCCGCAAATAACCCACAAACTCGTGATTTCGCCACGAAATGGCTTCCGGATGATGTTGTTGTTCCAGATCGACATGTACTTAGTGGGCGCGTCTTGACCTCACAGGTTGCTAAAGTTGAGGATCACATCCGGGAGAAGGTGAAGGGGAAGTTGGCCACGGGGCAGTGCGATGGGTGGAAGAACATTGCAAAAACATCTGTGGTTACGACGGTGATGAGTGTCGAGAATGAGGTAAGTTCATTGAACTTCTCACCTGGCTAGTAGTTACTCCCGTCATAGCCTTATCTCGTCCGTACACACGACATGACTGGTGAACCAAAAACGGGGGTTCGTCTCCTTGAGCTGGTACTGGACGATATCAACTATATGAAAACAAAGTATGGCATGGACCTCATTGCCTGGTGTACCAATGATGGCCCTGATGGCAAAAAGATGTGGCGGCTACTGGGTGTGATGCTTCTGTGGATGATCATTATTGTCTGTTGGGCCCACCAGATCAATCTCATTGTCGGGGATTTCTTGGGATCAAAGGAACCATACTTGAAGTGTATCAAGGAGGGCCTAGAGATCATAAAGTGGTTCAACGCGCACAGTGCAGCATTAGCACTGTTGAACGATGAACAGAGATTTATGTACAAAGGGAAGTGGTGGGCCCTGATACTCCCTGTCATCACGCGATGGACTGCCCATTATCTATCTGTTTCTCGGCTTCTCAAAGTCAAATCCGCAATACGATCCTGCAGCCTTCGCCACGAGGAGACCCTTCACAACTGCGCCGGAAAGGAGGCTAAACTAAAACTTGCAGCCTGTGCTATCCTGGACACGGTTGCCAACGATGTGTTCTGGGCAAACCTAGCAAAGTTAGTCAATATGCTTCAACATTGGTTGCTTCAACTCACCAGCTGTCTAGAGTCAAAGCACTCCTCGAGCCCCTTGCCATCACATCAAACATTATGCAAGCGTCCCACACCCGCCTAGATCATGTTCTTCTCACTCTCGCAAACCTCTTCCGCATCTACAGCAAAGCCGAAATTGATGGTCCATCATGTGCGAAAATACTGGGAAGTATCGAGAAGAGGTGGGCAAAGGCAGACCAAGATGTCTTCATCGCCGCCACCTTTCTCAACCCATATATCCGAAAAGCATGCTTCAATCCAGCTGTACTCACCGAATCTTCTTTGTATAACCTCATCGAGCGGCTGTTCGAAAAAAGGGTGACCTAGCATTGTTGAGGGCATTCACAGACTATGCAAAGGGAGCTGGCAAGTTCTCGGATGAGGAGATGAACCTGAATCAGATGACAGCTATGCACTTACAGGAGGTGAGGCCAATCATTCGTGTTTGTGCGTCCCAGACCACTGACTGTGCACTTGAAGAAGAAGCCCCTAGATCTTGTATTCATCTGGAAACACATTGATACGCAACCTGATGACGAGTTACCAGCAGGCCGTAATGCACTCACCAGACTTGCAATCCGGCTGCTTAGTGTTGTCGCAAACTCGGCAGGCTGTGAGCGATCCTTCAGTATCTTCGGCAACATTCATACAAAAACTTGCAACAAACTTGGGATGGAAACAGTGCACAAGACAGGTGTTCTGAAGATGGACATTTGGCGTTGCCACGTCGAAGAAGGCTGAGTTCCCACATGGAAAAAGCAGCAGTTCTCAACGCTGGATCAACCCACCTCAGTGACAACACCTGTCAGTGTTGATCCTGAAGCTGATCCTATAGATTCCATTCAATTATTGATCAACGAGGCAGATCAAGACGACAATGATGACTTACCAAATGTTGAGGAACTGCTGGAATCAATCCAGCCAAGTTTCCCTGTTTGTATGCCTGCCCCAACACCCTCCACCTCCTCCAACCCACCCCAACGACAAGCCCACCGAAAAATCCCATTATCTGACCTATTTCTGTATCCAAGTACGACGGAAGGGGAATTGGAGAGAGGACTTGCTTTTTACTGGAAGGGCGGCATGAAGAATCTCGAAGCTGAGCTTGCAAGCTATGATGCAGAGCAGGCAATGGGTGGAGAAGGGGTGAATATGGATCCTGTTGATACAGTACATGGGTAGATAAGTACATTACTAATCGATATCACACATCGGCGTCAGATAGCCATGATATCCGATATCCCACGAAACACATTGACCCAGTCAGTCAAAGATATTGACTAACCCCCCCCTTGATTGACTGACCCTTTGACTGACTGGGTCTGACCCTGGTCAACGCCAACACTGGTTTCAAGGATCTGTTTGCCATCGAAAACATGTTTGAGTGTGCCTCATTTTCCCAGATTGGGAGTCTGTACTTCAAGAAGGGCAAGAGCCCTGAGCTGCGACAAGGGCCTCTGTTCCTTGATGTCTGGCTGCCCACTGAGAATTATATTGCAGAGATTGAATGCAGCTAGCAAGAAATATAGAATCAGTTCCATTGTCATTCAGTCTGAGCTGCAAGATGGAAGGGAGATGATCAATGCTGACCAGGGTCCCTGTCCTTTTATGATTCAGCAGTCTAATTTTTATGTGCATCTCATATCCCCTCTCTGTAGAGCCTGACATAAAGTCCTATCTGCTGGCAGGCACAGAATTGGAGTGTTCTTGGATCATGAAATGTGCACCTGCAAGGCAATCAGCTTGCCACCAACGTCAACCTTTATATAACACAGAAGAGGATTAAAAGCTCCTGGTATATTATATTCTAAAGTGATTTCTGACATCAAACCACCCACTGGCCTAGGCATGCCTACCCACTGGCTCCATGATATCAGTCTGAGGAATCTCCTTGCCCACTTGTTGGCCTGATCAATTGGCAACATGCCATTGCCACACCTTATTCCACACAAGTCCACCTTCAGTACAATAGCATCCCTCCCCATCATGCTGGAGCTTTCTAATCTCAGGTCTGACTTTACACAAGAGGAGCAAGAGGTGTACAAATGGGGGCTGGAGCTCTTCTTTTGTCAGAGGCCCTAAGAAAAACTGCTGATTTTTGGGTCTTCACATGGAAAGTGCAAGGCATCTATGCAGCCCTTTCTATCTCATCTGGGGAATTTGCCATATGAGGTTGGGCAGTCATGGACAGATATGTATTTCCCTGACAGACTCTCTTGGAGCTTTAAGAAAACTGGGATAGTGTGGCTCGAGAGGGTGTGCTGTATCTTGTGGTGTTTGCTGAGGCCAAGGTACAACAACACGAGAATATCAGTGGTTTTCAAAGTATCATTTGATCAAGGGTGGTTGATGCACTGAACAAGGACTTGGATTGTGAGGATGGATTTGTCTCTTATGAAGGGTATGAGGCTGTGATGGACATAGTACACTCTATTATGATCTTGTAACTGGTTTCTGCATCATGTATATGCAACATCCACTAGCTTCATCAATATGGGCAATGATGGCAATGATAATCCTCAGGCAGGTTGGGATCTTGAAACAAAATGCCTTGCTCTACTGCTTTCTGACAATTCTAGTGAACATTACTTTAACTGGAGGCAGTTGAAAATTAAGGAAACATACCCTCTAGAAAATATGATTCAGAATTTATGGAATTGAATTGCTAATACGAAAGTTGACTGACCCACTGTTCATATAAATAAATGTCACAATAAAGAAATCAAAGGAACAGAATAATACATACATACTGAAATGGAGGAATTAGTGTTTGTAGGTCAGCAAGTTGGTGACATACAAGCTATGGGAAATAAGTGGACTTCAGCATAAAATAAAATCAAAACATACAGTCTGGGATAAAAAGTTACTCTCTAGACATATTGAAATAGGAACATATTTAAAACCATACCGTCTAGGAAGGTGATGCAAGAGAAATAGGTTAATTAGATGGTATATATCAAAAATAAGGGGTGAACAAACCTCCTAAAAATATATGTAGACATAGGTCAATTACTGGACAATGAGTGAAAACAAGTGTTAGCTTTAATAAGGGGGTTTACAACTTAAAAACTTACAAGCTGTGAAAGAAAGATACAGATAGCCAACTCCCAAAAGGGTGGCCAATAAGGATGTGGGCCACATACTTTCTAAAAAAAGATAAGAATTAAGAATAATTTTCTAGCAGTATGCTTCTTAAAAAATAGAATGACTTACTTCCTGAGAAAAAGGAAAATCAGATAAATAAGTTGGCAAAAAATAAATGGTGAAAAAGAGGGCAACTCACAAACTGGAGAAAAAAACAGATTTAAAGAATAAGTCACTTAAGAGTCATCCTAAAAGCAGAGCAACACACCGCCTGGAAAAAGCAAATGCAGAGAATGGATTATTGAAAGAGTGAAAAGTGAAAAGCATGGCAACTTGCATGCTAACAAAACCAAATACAGAGTGTGAATTACTGGAAGAGTGCACAGTAAAAAGCAGGGTAACTCACAGACTGAGAAAAACCAAATGGCCATGGTGAAAATGAGTTACTAGAAGACTGCACAGTGAGAAGCAGAGCCACTTACAAGCTAATAAAACCAAACACAGACAATGGGTTGCCAGAAGACTGCACAGTAAAAAGCAGGGCAACTCACAGGCTAAGAAACCAAACAAAGATAATGGGCCAAAAGAAGAGTGACAGTGAAAGGAAGAGCAGCTCACATACTGAGAAAATCAAATGTGGGGAGTTAATCACTAGAAGACTGCATAGTAAAAAGCAGGGCAACTCACAAGCTAAGAAAACCAAATGAAGATGATAGGCCACAAGAAGAGTGTACAGTGAAAGGCAGAGTAGCTTACATCCTGAGAAAACCAAATGCAGGGTGTAAAAGACTAAAAGACTGCATAGTAAAAAGCAAGGCAACTCACAAACTAAGAAAACGAAATAGAGAGAATGTGTTATCAAAGAGTGCACAATAAAAGACAGGAATACTCACAGGCAGTGAAGACTCAAAAATGGGTCACCAAAAGAGTGCACAGTGAAAAGTAGGGTAACTCACATGTTGAGAAAACTAATGTAGACAGTAGATAAGTAACAAAAAAAAATTGGTAGTTTATCTTTACTTACCCACTGATGAAGACCTGAAATGCAACTCTAGAGATGTTGAACATGCAATATAACATACCCTCTTATTGTAAAAAAATAATGAGAATTAGATACCAGACTGTCTGAGATAAACATTCAGACTTACTGTCTAATAACAATGAAATCTGAACATCATCAAATATTCAGTAGTGTGCTCACAAACTATATGACATTGATAGATCAATATCAACATCTATATTGTTTATGAACCTTTTAGGACCCACATCCTGTAAAAAATAAATGAATTTGATTCAAAGTAATATTGGCCCAGTCCTTACTTTCTGAACCTTCCCATTAGTAATAACAAAGAATAATTATATTCAAACTTACTTCCTTCCAGTCAAGACAGATATTTAAATCTGAGGCTTTTCTTTAGAGTGTTGTACCACATACCTCCTAGCAGCTCTACAAGTTAATTCAAAGTATTGCATTATGTTCTTTTCACTTACTTCCTGTCACAGATTTTTTATCAATAAATACATGCATTTAGCCAAATTATTCTTACCAGACAGAAATCAAGAATTTTTTGTAACATTCTGAATAATGCCTTCTTAATTGTTGATGTTCTTCCTGCCTTGCTTCAAATATTAACAGTAAGATAAGTAGATGAATTGTTATAACTCACCTGACACAACTTTAGTCCAGTATATAGCCATACTGGTATCTCTTTCTTATTGGAATATATGATGCTCAATATGGTATTATACCATTTCCCTCCCTGAAGAGTAAGAAAATTTTCAATAGAGTATACCAGAGTATTCATGATTGCTTCATCCCAAATTGTTTCTTGTTCTTGTAATCCCAAAATAATATGATGTGGCCATTCAATTATAGCATAGCCTGGGCTATTCTCAAAGAAATATTGTGAGGAATCTTTCGCCAAACATTTCAGACAGTCCAGTGCCGTATGAATATGTTGCAAAGAAGGTTCAATGAAGTAATGGCCTGATCGTGATTTGATGGACAGAAAGTCTCGAAGCGAAGTGTGATAGAGCATGATTAGCTCATTATCATCTCCAGGAATTTTGACAATTGATTGAACTTTCAAAAGCTCAAGGACAATCTCCCCAGCTTGGATGTCAAGGAGTAAGCTAAGAGAATTGATAGACAGACTGGTCTGCAGAATCATGATAGTTCCAATAAGTTGATGAAAGGCTGGTGTTTGAGAAGCAAAAGAAAGAACTTGTTTGTAGAGTGGATCCAGACCATTGGACCCAGAGTCCAGAACTTCTTGCAAGACTTTGTATGGCATGGGATCTTCTCCAACCAATCGAACCAGTGTGGCAGCAAACATGAATGAACTGCCAGCTTTATCAAGAAGTACAGAGAGAGCTTGATCAGATGGCCAGGGCTGTGGGATCCTCCGCATGATTGGAAGGTTCTGGTCATAAATACAACCAAATTCCTGTTTAAAATACAGACAGATGTCATGGCGAGCATCAAAAGCATCCAAGTTTATGCAGTACAAGACTGACTGAGCCCTGGCATCGCCAAACTTCTTCCGGATATGTTCTTCCACTCTGCTAGTAAGAAAGATGCGAAATGGAAGCTGGTCCCTTTGAGACATGTCAAGCAGCATTTCAATAAATTCCGCCATTTGAACCTTGTCATCACACTCATCAAGACCGTCAATGACAAGGATCTTTGACTTGGCGAAAAAAGAAAACAGGGTGGGCAGGGAAGACAGTGGGTTTGTGATGAGTCTTTGGAACTGATGGACAAAAGAGACCGAAGAGTCAAGCATAGTGTAATCTTCTTCAAGTGCCCGGTCAATCAGCGGTTTTGTGGCGGGCACCGAGATGGAGATCTGGTGCGCAAGGGTGGGAATTAGGCGGGCAATGTGACTGCGACCCCCAGCACCCCGAAGAAAGAAAAAGCTTCCTAAAAGCCTGCCCTTGTTGGCATAGCACTCCGCAATGGTTTGCGATAATGCAGATTTGCCATAACCAGCTGGCCCGTTAAGCCAGCAGACTGATTGCTTATCACGCCTGTTGAGCCATTTCTTGATCGTTTCAATCACTTTCAGGCGAGTGCCAGGATCACACTTCGCGACTGGACCTGAGCGGATGTGTGTCGCGTTACTGACAGGCCTAAGCAATTGCGAGAGACCTAAATACAGTGAATTACACTGAAGCGATGTATAAACAGACTTGACGTACCTGCAGAAGGGCCGTGGACAATAGTGACATCGCGGGCGTTAACGACCTGTGCATTCCCTGAAATGGTTGCTCCAATAGAGTTTTCGAGGATTGTGTTGGACGCCATGAAACAATGTGTTTCAATACGAGAGGGTTGAGTTCGGAAAGGTCGAGTTGTCGTGGTTGATGAAGAACTGGTTGAGCGCCAGCTCCGGAAACGGGGCGACGAATAAGTATTACAAAATCAACTATCATTATCACTGCATTCGTCGATTCTTGGTCGATTCGCAGGCCTTCGATACTGAAGCTGCTCTTGCGCTGCGTTGTCAACTTACGGCTCCAGACTTCAAGCGAGCGATCGCCATAATCTTCTCGTTATGCTGTTCACATTTCCTTATATATTATCATGTTCTTCGTAACAAGTTGTTGGCACCCATATACCGTCGGTATTCGCACCTGAGGGCAATATTTCGCCAAAACCCAGAGCGTTTGGCCTTCGCTGATGGTTGTGCGAGGACCATGCTTGATGACGAGACCCAGATCATGAAGATATAGGACCCTTTGGGCGTATTGGCCATGTTCACGGTGGTGTAGTATCTGGAAAGTGGAATCGAAGGTCGACGTCGTCGAATTCCTGGGGAGGAGTTCCCGATTGAAAACAATTGGTGATAGGGTATCTTGCATATCGACAGAGTCCTCAGTCTGAGTGAAAACACTCATTTTGAGCGTATGTGTCTGAGGTGTTTTCACTCAATCAAAATGGTTTTACTTCTCACAGCTGAGTGACAGCGGCTTCAAGAAAACGAGCGGTAACTACTTCGGATAAACCCCCAAAACAGGACTCAACCACGAATCATAGTCCTCCTCCCTAGCAGGATTCCCCGTAACCCTCAAAGCCCTAATCAACACGCGATACGACCCACTCGGAATAGCAGTCCCATTCGCGAATGTGGGCGAGTTGAGCGCAAAGCTGCTGTATCCGTTGTCACTCGGGTTCTGTTAAACGTCAAGGTAATAAGAACAGGGTAGACAGAGAGAGAGAGGGAGAGAAGACGCACCTCACTATTCCGAGGAATATAATTCAACTCGGCCAGCGTGCCAACAACCTTGACCTGAGCAAACGAGCCCCCCTTCTGCGGATGCGGGAACGTGAAAAAGGGTAGGCTGCCAAACAGTCCACGGCTGCTAAGCGTCGTGGCGATCTTGATATTGGGGTCTACAAGGTCAGCACGGAACGAAGGCGTTCCAAACGTCAACCTTCATCCCAACAAACATCAACACCTTCAATTCGTGGGGGAAGAAAAAAACCGTGACGTACCTCCAAAGCAAAGTAGGCACATCCGTACCAACAAACGTATAATTCGTCGGAGACTTCTGTACATCACCCTTCGAATCAATCAAAGCAGGTATCTTCTCCCCAAAGAAAATGTCACTATTATCCACAACCTGTTTATCCTTCAACGATGCTGCCAGCCCTATATACGTGACGTGCAAGTTCTCCGAAGGAGCCGCGATTTCGATGAACCCAGAGTATAGGGGATAGGTGGCGGCGTTGAGGCCTTTTGGTGGGGAGAAGATGGCTGCGACGATTTGGGATGATCCGGGGCGGAGGGTGAATGTGTTGGGGACGAGGGTGACGGAGGCGGAAGTTTTGGTGAGTGGGACGGGTCCTAAGGAGGCGAATTGGGTTGTCTGCAAATGAGAATGAGGACGTGAGCTTATGCGCTATCGTTCTGGGTGTATGGAAGATGATCTTACCGCGTTAACAGTCAAAGCAGTCCCAGCAGGGAAATGAGTAAGCTTATATTTCTTCGAAGCATTACCAGTATTCTTCACACTGAACGTTTGCCTTCCATCCCCAAAATCATCAACACCCCAAAACTACCAAAAGAAGAGCAACTCACACTCCTTTAAAATGCGCCGTATCATTCAACACAAGTTCACCAGGCTCAACAACCGTCGTCGCATAAACAGCATCAAAAACATTAATCAGCCCCGCCCCCTGCTGCGAAACCGTCTGCAACGGATCACCATCCGTATGGCTAGACGGCACCCTCTTCGCAGTCGTCTCAAACAACGTCCGAGCACTCTTGCCCACGGACGCCGATTTGCCTTTGACGGAGAAGAGGAGGGCGGCGCTGCCTGCTACGAAGGGCGTTGCCATGGACGTGCCGGATTCGACTCCGAAGGAGCCTTGGGTGGTTGGTAGGGTGGAGAGGATGTTTCCGCCTGGAGCGGCTAGAGCGGGTTTGAAGTAAAAATCGTTGGATGGGCCGTAGCTTTTGGCAAAAAAAATAATCAGATTTTCGTTGTCGATATAGAAGACAGAAAGAAAGAAGATCGCGTACCTGGTGAATGAGGAGATCAAGCCTCCCTTGGGATCTGGGAAGTTGACCGATCCTCCTGTTTGAGGGAAGGAAATGGTGATAGGGGCATTAGCAGCAAATTGTTGAACCAGCTGTGCATTTCATCCATATGATCAGTTCAAACGCAAATGGACGATATGAAGATAACTTGCGAATTCTCCATCGGCAGCTTGGATAAGAGCAGCGTTGAAGGTACCAACTGAAATGCCAGCGAAGCCATTTCCATTACTAAAGACAACACATTAGTAGTGGAAGCCATCTATGCAAAGAAAGAAACATACTCATAGATCAAAGTAGTCTTCGCCCCCTTTGCAGCAACATTTGTCAACTTTGTAACCTACACCAACCTCAGCTACGTCCACGGCCCATAACGCAAAGTGTAAAACTCACGAAAGAACACGTCCCACGCCTGACAATCACCACAAACTTGGACAAATCAGGGGTACTATCCGGAAGAGGCTCGCAAGCATCATCAACGATAGTCGTATCCTTTGACGTAGCATAAATAGGTAAATCCCCAGGCGTAGGCAAGGGGAAAGTGGCAAAATAGATAATTTGGTCGTGTGGGACGCCGTTGACGTTGAGTTTTTGTAGAGGAACGACGGTGCTTTTCAAGTAATAGGTGTGAGGGAAAGGAAAGAGGAAGAACAAGACTTACTTGTCCACGCTAGATACGGAAATCACGTCGACGCCGTTCCCTGGACTGGAGCTGTACCAAGACCCAGAGGCACCCTTCACCATTAATTACATAGCATCAATGATCTATGCAACTTGCAAAAACTTTGAGAGACAGACGTACGTCGTTTCCAGCAGCGATAGTGACGACCTTTCCGGACGCAGCGATCCTGCTCGCCACTACACTACTTGACGATTCAGTCCATCCGTCTGGACCGCCCAACGAGAGTGTCAATATATCTTGGCCGTCTTTGACACCCCTTAGCAGAGCTTCGACGATGACTAAGCAGAAAAAGGTGAATTGTAGATAACCATGGATGAAGGCAAGGAACTTACTATCATCAGTCACCGACCCAGTGCACCCAAACACTCTATAAGCAGAGAGAGACGAGTCGTACGCCACACCGCTAATATTGAACTGGTTTCCGGGGTTAGCACCAATAATGCCCTTATCATCGATCGTCGGTCGGTAAAAAGGATGATTTACTTAAAAAAGAAGCTCACAGCTACGTGGGTTCCATGGCCCGCACATTGATCGAGGGGGTCGTTATCTGGGACAGGGGTATTGGTACCTAGTAGAAGATAATTATAATTAGATGAAGACGACTTGAAGAAAAGAGGGGTACTTACCATCATACTTATCTCCAACGAAATCATATCCCCCAATGACCTTATTCCCTGGGCCAAAATTTCCACCAAGTAAAGGATGGGTATAGTCAATACCAGTGTCGATGCTGGGTAACGTTACGTAAGGATTCGACCCAAGAGAGATGGAAGAGAAGAGAAGAGAAGGAGTGCGTACATCCCGATCTTGATGCCCTTTCCGGTGATACCTTTTGCGTGCAGCTTATCGACGCCCTATTATCGCATGCTTAGAAGACTTGGAAGAAGGAAGAAGGGAGAGAAAGGACGTACGGTGAGGATATGGGTCGATTCCGAGTCTGGTGGGATGGCTGGATCGTAGGGACCGGAAACGACGTGTACGCTGACGGGTTTGGGCCTTTGGAAGGTCGTTACGGGGCGGATGGCTTTGATGCCTGGGCTGTTTTGGAGGGCGATTGCATCCTGTTTTGTGTTAATGATGTGGAGGTGAGTTGGTTGAAGGACGTACGGTAGCGCTCTGTGAATGTATGCGTTACTGATGAACCGTGATAAAGATGAGAGAAGACGTACTGTGACAGTCAAAGCAGCTCCGACGAAGAGGTCTGGTGAATCGTATTCTTTGTCGACTTGGAAAGAGACATCACGCGACTTGAGTAAATCGTACACTGCGTCGAGAGACTGTAGCGGATTATCGTCAACCAAGGAACAGGATATATAATCCGAACGAAACATACACGAGTAAAAGAGCGTTTATTGGGTATGTTGGAAAGCACGTCTACCTCGACGATAAACTTGTTCGGCACAACGGGAAGGTTGGATTCCCGCTTGACGCTGGATATAGGGAACGTAGCCCATGCAGAGCTTGCGAGTAACGAAGGAAGGACAGCCCATAACGAAGCGGACTTCATGGTTAGGAAAGGGGAGACCATAGGAGGGACAAAGTCAAAGCAGGCAGCAACCGACTAAGCTGGGGTTTTCTGCACCAGTAAAATTGTGTATATATACTATAGGCTTCGTACAGGCACCACAATGCATGTGGCGTGTTCGGAAGCCCATATTGTCGAGGTTGCCGTGATCAATTGCGCTAGTTCTTTATGGAAAAGCAAGATCGTCGGTATAGACGTGGACACGTACTTGGTGAGCACGCGTTCCCCAGGAATCAATGTGGTTTCTTGATGGATCGTTTCATAAATTCGCGGGGCCGGGTGTTGGATGGAGATGAAGTGCAATAGTGCGCCATAAAGGAAGAATATCATGAGGTTGGGGAAGCACGCTTTGCCAAGATGTGGCTCCCATGCTCATTCGAGAGGTTGACAACACAACCCTCCGTCGTGAAGGTTGACTAGGGCCATTGAATAACGGGTAAAAGACATCTGTGAAAGAAATCCAGTCGAGTGGTTATGTCAAGAATTGAGCAAGCAGGAATTTTGTCGTATGCTATGAAGGGCCCCAGCGGACAAAAAGTTTCGCAAAGCTGTTTCCATCTGAGTTTCAAGATTTCAGCTTCAATTCACCAAACATTTCAGAATTTCCGGCTCTTCCATGCGTGTTCGCTTGTGTATTCAAAATTTCAAATTAAGATCATATCCCACTTCAGGATTTCAACATCACCTTCGGTATTTGAACTTCGCTTTGGAGATTTCAGCTCTCATTTCCAAATCTCATTTTTATTTTCAAGGTCTCGGCCCTTCGTCTCAACTTCAAGATTTCAACTTGAGGCTTTCAGTTTCGACACGGGTTTTTTCAATCGAGCCGGAAGCATACCCTGCCCAATTGTACCTGCGCTCGCAAAGGGCACCTATTTGCACACTGCTTCTAGACCTGCGGAGGTGCTTGTTGCATCTCTTTGGCGACTTTGTGGGATATGCATGCATCCCTGTGAATGTGGGTCTTGCTGCATCGTTTCGTTGCCTGATGTCTTTCGCAGGTGGGGCAGCTGGAGAAGAAAAAGGGCGACAATTCATTTCAACTGGGCACTCTGAAGTTATTTGGCCAACTCTTAGAGGTAAAATTGTCTATGCAGCTAGCGCAGTGTTGTCTCATCTGTTTTCTAGTCTATGAAGCATCATGCCGAGGTTGGGAAAGATAAGGTATGCGGATTTCAGCCATCCTCCTCTCATACCTCTCTGATCAATAGTGCATGCCATCAAGTCCAACTCATGATGTGGTTAGCTTCTGCAACACATTCAATAATGTTTTTTCCTTGTGTTTTGCATCCACCAGTAAAAGTAGAGAACCAATCCGTATTGTCCAGTTCCTTTTCGGTGCATAGGCCGGAGTTGGCAATCACCGGCTTGATATGGTCAATGAAGGCTTTGCGGCCAGGTTCGTCAAAGGCTTGTGCGAAGAGGCGCAGTGCGTGAGGGTTGGCTGCCACAAAGGCAATGAGGTGGTCGGTAACTTTCTTGACACCAGGGTGTCGTGCAGATTTGCGTAAGTGAGCCATAAATGTGCGCGTTGAGAGCTGGTGCTAAATGTACGCGCTGAGAGCTGGTGATAAATGTGCGCGCTGAGACCGAGCCCGCATGTGTCACGTGACCTTCGCCAGCAGTCCAAAACTGCCTTTTGCTTTTGTTCTTCCTCCACAGAACCGATGGTGGCCCACATGTTACTGCCAGGCTATTGAGTGGATCGGCATGCCGCGCGCCGCTTGTGTTACTCTGGTATTACCGTGTGACCTCGAGGGCGCAGTCCCCGCCTGCTTTGCCTTCCAGCTGCTTGAGGGTCGCTGTTTGTTAGTTCACCCAAGTTCACCCAGCCCCCGCGCTAATCAAAATCCAGTTGGGCGGGCAGAGACCATGCGCACACCATTGGTACGCCCACTTCGCTTTGTGCACACGGACCTATTCTGACCTACCTGTAGCCGGCATGTTTTACTGGCAACGTCGCTGAACGCTCCGCCGCCCAATCGCAACCTTCAAAGCCTCAACCCTAGCGCGATAGCTCTCCTCCTCCAGCCTCCCCTGCTCCCCCTTCCCCCTTCTCGAAACAGATAGAGGGGAAGACCTTTTTGAGGTTGAAAGAGGGTGATTAGGAAGGGGGCATTTTTTTTCTTGTCTAATTCCTCGATGGACGAAGAGCTGGAAGTACAGGGTAAACAGCCTCTTTTCCATCCATTCTGCATTTTTTCATTGCTCATTGTTTACTCAGAACACAAGTCCCGAGGCCGTTGTGGAGACCATTCCCATCGTGCAGACATGTTTGGTGGCCTGCAGCAATTGAGGAAATTCGAAATCTGCCACCCATGAATTTCTGCATCCCAATCTCTGCCCGGCTTTGAGTGTCGGTCTCTGAGCTCACATCGCCCACCACAGCAGATTGATCCCGCTCAGCATCCTCTTCAATCATTTTAGTGACCAAACAATTTATCGCGCCCTGCTCCCCCATCATCCCTTGGTTTCCAGTCCAGTCCCTCTTCATCAGGTTCAGTTCACATCAATGCAGACCTGGTTATTTGCATTTCGCCGGAGCACTATGACACGGCCCCCGTAGATGGACTCGTGATCCAAATGCCTCAAGCTATGCCTTTCCAGGCAAATTGGCACATTGCGGCGAGAACGCCAGGACCACCGATTTCGATTTTGCAGCTACTGCGGCATTCATCCATCAATACGATTATGATCATAAAAACGGCGACCCTGATCTCGAAGTGGGGCTTGAACGCTTGCCTGAACGACACCAACTTTGTCCCCTTTTGACTTTCATGCTCTTCCTTCCCGGACACCCAACGGCGGCCCTACCTGCCTTTCTATGCAATACGATGGTAGCGTAATTTTGGAACAACAGGTTCTCTAGCAGCGCGCTCGCTCTCCACTCTCTTGCCCGTGCACACAGGCGTTGCGCACTTCGGCAGCCATGTTTTTGAGTTGGGCAGGGGAAGAAGCGGGTTTGGGAGGAGGAAGAGCGCCTGCTGGGTTCGCATTTAGCGTAGTTGAAGGGGACGCAGGAGGGGGGAGAGCGGGGTTCAGCAGAACGAGGGCGGTCGTAGGTATCCCTTCGATCCCACTCGCGTTCACGAGGACCATATTCCCTGGCCCTATCACGGCTTTCCCGCCCTTCTCGATTCCTATTTCGACTTTCTATATCACGGCTGTACCACGAGCGCGGGATCAGCAGGGGGTGGGAACGCCCCAGGAGCTCCAACTGCACGTCTGCGCTCTTTGGGTGCCAGCGGAAGAGGCTCTGCCTCTGCGATCTCAACCAGTCTGCCAATGGACCGCCACTTCGCCACCATCCCCTTTGACCAACATCAACGACCATTCCTTCCACCCCTCAGCCGGCAACACTTCGTTGCGTAATTCCTATCCCTATGTTTACCATCGTACTTCCCAGTCCTCCCACCCTATCCGATCCCTCGCCCGCTCTCTCTTCTCCCTCTCCTTCCTCCCATCCCTAGCCTTGACCTTCCTCCCAATCTCCGGCACACGCTCATGCGAAAGGTTCAACAACTCGTTCTCCAGCTTCCTCCTCTCCCCATCATTTGGCACAGTTTTCGGGCCACGAGCTGGAGCACTTCCTCGTAACGACTTCGCGGGAACCATCCTTCCGCATAGGTGCCTAATACGATTGGCGAAGCAACGGTAGTGAAGGCAGCACCATCCGCCAATCTGCCTCTCAAAGCGGTGGCTGTTGCGAGCCTCTTTTGGCCAACTATCAACACCCTGCACCTCTGAATGTATGAACCCCCTACCCGAATCCTAGAATCCAAAGCGATTGCCAGGCATGGGGGTAGAGCAGCAGCCAGGGTACTTAGAAGACGAAACACCAACCAGCCAGACTGCAAAGTTAAGCAGAAGACAGGACTACCCCGCTCGCCTATAGGATGCACCTCTAAACGGCGTTTCCGTGCCGGACTAGGAAGGGGAATGATCGCCATGGGCGTGCCCTCTCCAGTGCAAGAGGTGATCCTCAGGGGGTCAGGAATCATAGGCACTAGGGGCCTTAGGTAGTCTACGAAGTTGTAAAGTCTGACGTGGGGCTTCGCCCCGATGGACTATAAATTTGACATTAAAAAAAAAAAAAAAAAAAAAAAAAGAGCAGCAGCCTTCCCCTCAAAATGCTCGAACCGCCAGCATATCATCGCCCGCATATTCTTCTGGAAGCGCGGACGATGCCAGGTTAGATTCCCAATGAATAGGTGACGAGGACCTGGCGGGAGCCAAAGAGGATTATTTACCGAAACTGTTAAACCAAGGGAGGGGGCAGCGGGTGTTCAAGGCATCGTTTAGTCTTATCTTTCCCTCTGCCCTTCAGAAACTCGATTGGTTGGTCGCTTGTGCAATACATTGCAAGTATACCAGCGATGCGGGTACCGATTGGAAGATCTCACAGGGTATACCTTGGGATATGGGTACCCTCCCGCATGCTGGAGGTCCATTGTATATAGAATTCAAACTAATTTGTTAGTTTTCGGGAGGCCCTCTCCATCGTTACTTCTTCGACGTGCAACCAACTATCCTAGAAAGGGCTGATCAGATCTTAATGAAGATCTGTGCGCACTATTCCAGAAGGTGATTAGCACTCAAAAACATCCAGGTATTCCCCCCTTTCTGCCTTTCTTTCGCTCTCTGCCCTGCTTGACTGCTGAACCCCCTCCCTGTAGACCTGGAAAGCAACATTCTGACCATGTCCGAAATCTGTCCATGCAGCCTATGCCAATGTCCTGATCTCTTTGAAGATGTTTGTCCAAATTCTCTCTTTCCCCTCGTGCGATACTCAATTACGATCCAGTCGGGCCTTTCTTGCCTCTGTGGGCATTTTGTTTCTGAGCATCGGAATGTTCAGCAGGTCCTTGTTCGGTATTGCCCAGTCGAATTGCCAGATTCTGCCCACAGGCAAATGTTTTCCAACCGTACCACGCATTGCCGGGTACGAACTTCATCGATTTATTCAAGTCATTGTTAATGAGCCCATTCTTCTTTTTTTCAGACTCGGCGCGAATGTGGAATGCTTGTGTGCTCTCGCTGCCATAAAGCAAACTACTTGCACCTACCATCTGCACCTGGCAGTGCTCGTGCAGGGGTGCCGCCTCCTTCGATAGAGCCAACTCCCCCTGCTACGCAGCCATCAATCTTCGCTTTGAGACCCCTCGCACCACCTCTTTCCCAGCAACCAACCTTGCAACCTTGGAGCCAACCAGATGCAGATGCTAATCAAGCGACCCATAGTGGGAGCCAGGTTAACCTGCGCCGAATTTCAGCAGCGGCAAGGCACCAACCACCTGCATCTAGTGTTTGAAAGTCCGGTTAGGTTAGGTTATTGGGTGCCCAGGGGCTCTAACCGAGACCGAGACCGGTTAGGGTTCGTTCCCAGACCCAAAATAACCTAACTGGACCGAAGATAACCGATGAAAACCGGTTAGTTGCAGTTACTAACCGGTTAGGACCGAAAAAATAGAAAATCGATTAAAACGGCGTATATTTCTCATATTCCTTGCAGTAAACATTATTGCCATGCGTCGTAGCTTTAAAACAAGCCCAAGAACGCTAAATTCGGTGAAGAATTGACAATTTTATAATAATATTCTTGAAAGCCTACTATTTTAGCCAATAATTTAGAGATTTGACCATAACTCTGTCAGATTTTTAGCGTTTCTCATGCTTTTAGATGCGTTTTGAAGGGGTAAAATAGGGTCGGTTGTAACCGGTCATAACCGGTTTTTTAACGGTTAGTTAACCGCAAAATAACCGGTTATTTCATTTCCAGAATTGACTAACCACTAACCGCGGTCCGGTTTTTTTGCGGTTAGGTCCGGTCTGGTCTCGGTTATTTTCCAGTTAATTAACCTAACTTCCAAGCACTACCTGCATCGCAGTTGCCGCATCCTGTGGGAGTCGCCCATCTCCCCCTGATCAGCCTTCCAACAGTTCGCGTGCCCAAGCGCAAAAATGTACGAGTTTCTACAACCCAAAGGCCTGTGACTGGGAAGCAGAAGATTATCAACTTGAGGTATTTCATCGTAATACACCCCCAGCAGGTAATTGCTCTCGAAAATTTTATGCAATGCATACTGATAACTTTGTTAGTTGGGACAATTTGCAAACAACGATTACCCAGGCCCTTCCTTCGCGACTTTGCGCATTCCTCCTACGAATAGATTGCAGGACTTTCTCGCACAAGCACAAAAACTAAACCTGCTGATTCGACATGAAAAAACAGGAAGCATTGATTCGCCCATTGCAAATGATTTCAATCTTGTGATCGACGGCCACATGCGCCAACATAACCTTGCCTTCGTTGACCTACTAAACACACCAACACCTAGCCCTGCAGCTCGATCATCCCGTGCACCACAACCTCCCCTTGTGCTTGACCCAGAGGCAAAGTGGCACCCGCTCTACATCAAGGCGACTACACGGATCCAGGCTGCAGACAGCCTTACCTCAATTTTGCACCGGCACCCGAAAACTGTTACGAACATAACTTATGCCGACATCTCTAGCAAAAGCAAAATGCCTATCGTCCATGTCAACCAAACAGAATGGCGAATCGTCATTATAGGTTGGTCTGATACTTTTGCCCACTTTTCATAAAATTAATCGCTTTTCTTAACCAGTGCCGAATCATAATATTATTGTCGGAGACTTTGAAGGGACTGGTCCCCATGCATGCCTTCCCATCAGATTGTGGGAAACGATACTGGAGCATCACTTTGACATCGAATGCAACGAAAGCTGTGGTCGCCCCGCGCAGGGAATGGTATGGAAGCGACTTACTGTTATAATCCTTTTATTGATTTCTTTCTGTAGAATATGCCAGATGACCCCGTGAATAGGGATGTGATTGCAGATACCGACCACCCAGGCCCATGTGCATTCGGCCAACCTGTTGCTGGTGAAAGTGTCGCCAGAGCTACATCGGTAGATTCCAGCTTCAGCAGCAGCACACCTCCCCCAGCGCTGGCGATGCCGACTTTAGAAGAATTGGAAATTCAAGAGGTCCACCATCGCACTGCTCGCCTCCAGAATGGGATGGCTAGAGATGTCGCAATTCTATGGAACATTGCTCTTTCTGATATCCACAACGATACCGATGCCTGCATGGTCATTCGATCGCCTACGGCAGAAGCTGCAGCTGAATCTCTGATGCACCATCTCAAGAATCTTGTCACTGGGGCACCAATACCGGAGGATCTTTGCCCAGATACGACGATTGACAATGTTACTGAGGCTGCAATGAGCCATCCTTATTTCAGAGTGATCATGTAAGCCATCTCGAGAATTCTTGACATGTGCCTGACTGCCTGTTGCAGCAACGGTGCCCCTGGGGATGGTCCAAGGCGACAAGTTTGGTCTCATATCTTGTCTGGACTCCTCGGCGACTGGAAACACTTTGTAAGAATGGCAGAGGATGACTTCTACACACCCTCCCTTGTTCCTGCACCAGCTGTCAGCGAACGCGACAGGAAGATCTTCATTTTCTTCGGATTTATCATCCGACAATCATTCGTGTGGGGGTTCGATACACTCCCAATATCGCCATTCTTCTTAGCATTCCTCTTCAAGGACTTTGAACATGCAACGACCCCAGAGTTTGTGAACGCTGTCGCCCCCCAAGCTGCAAAGCGACTCGCATCCTGGCCTCCAAAAGCTGTTGGGCCACCAAGCGAAGATGGAACTCCTCCTCGACTCGTGCTTGATGGCACCATGGATCCAATGTCGCTGATATTTGAGTGGGTCCCGAACGTAACAGTGTGTTGTATATATTCATTCATGGTACCTGGGGCTTATACAAAGTTTTTACAGGCTGACCATATTCGGGACATGTCCCTTGAAAACCAATTGAAACTTCTTCCTTCAATCAAGGCTGGCCTTCTGTTCGCCCACCAAACACAAGATATTGAAAGATCTTACCTCTCGCATCACCATCCAATCTTCGAGGCTGTAGCGATCGGAATAAACTACCCCTTTTTTTCTGTAACTGAGGTCACTGGCGAATCTCAGCCCCCTAAATTGATGGATGTATGTGATATAACCTTATCGTTTCTTTCTCTGTGTTGCTCAAACCTTTCAAAGATACTTCGAACCAATTTCGACATTCTGGCTCTCCTGGGCACCATGTACCAAGATCGCGTCATTACGACCTCAATCGATTTGCTGCCCTATATCGCTTGGACAGATGTTGAACCGAATCCCGATTCCCCCACTGAGAATCTTACCAAGTACTTCGCCCGGCGATCACGATTTTTAGAGCTTTTGCGCCACTATCTCCGAGGCAAAGGGCATCCATTGGGTGCAGTTGGAGTGAGCTCTCAGGCATTCCAAGAGTCGCGGGATGATGCTGCCCTTCGTCCAACACTGTTCTTAGAAGCCGTCACCTCATCGCGATTCCTCCCTCTCGCACACGAGAGACTGATGGTATGCCTATTTCTCACCAAAAGATCACCTGAGCTTATTTGGACCTTAGATACAGTTTAAGCGACTTCTTGCACTGGGAACAGCACAAGCCTCAGGGGCACATTTTCATACCTGCTTCCGGAGTGTTGAATTTCAGATTGACGATGCTTTTGCATCTCTAGCCCACATGCCCGATCCAGTGACACCTCTTGCTGCATTTTCTGCCTTCGATATCTGGATGCACTCTCTTTTGTGGGGTAGCAACCAGGTATTCAACGCAGTTTGACGCACCTATTCTGCTTTTCATTAACTTGCCCATCCTGCTGTGCCTCATTACCATTGTTCATTGATCCTTTACATTATAGATTATATATGAGTATCGGCTGCTGCATGTAACTTACCATATGATTGTTGTCATGATGAAGTCATGCTGCTCAACGACATAGCGAGAATCCGCAGTAGACTAGGCCGCGCAAAGGCCGCAGTATTTGGGTGAGGCTGACTACAAGCTGACTATCCTTTGTGGATGCCTGCAGGCGACGCTTCTCCGGTGCATGGAACTTCGTATCTGTTTGTATCTTGCTTGCATCTGCTGTATCCTCCTATGCTCTCCTCTCTTAGCTTCTGAATTGTTTAACCTAGTCGTGACATGGCCCTCGTCCAGCATCACATTGCAGCTGCCTTTCAGGAACTTGGCACGAGTGTCACATCGGTGCTCCGCACACAGCTAGGCAATTCAGAAAGAATCAATGCCCAAAAAAGAGCCTGTTTACAGTTCCTGGCGAACATCCGACAGGTACGCACCCACTGGTAGCGACTTCTATGCCTAACTGGCTGATATTTGTCCCAGCATATCCCAGATATGAACCCAGCTGATGCCGACATAATCACAACTAGTGTTGAGGAAATGATTAGTGCATTAGAATCCAGTGCAACTTCTTCTCGCTATCCTGTTGATGCTCCCCCGATTGTCCTTGGTGGTACTCTTCATTCTGGGCAGCGAGGCCGACCACCTGTCGATATTAGGCAGGAGGACCTTGCACTGCTTGCGAGTGGCCGAACTACTCTGCAAGAAATCGCGAACTTGTACCAGTGTGGGGCCCGAACAATTCGTCGCCGCATGTTAGAATTTGGTCTGTCTGACCCCGGCCCCCCTGTTTATGCTGACCAAGAGCAAGAGGATGGCTCGATTGAACGGGTGTATTCAAGAGGTAGCTGTGCCAATCTCTCTCAGGCAACAGATGAAGAACTTGATGCCATCCTTGTCTCAATCTACGAACAATTTCCTTCATTTGGGAGACGAATGCTTGATGGATACCTCATGGCCTTGGGTGAGCGCGTCCCACGCCGGCGAATTGAGGAGTCTTATTTGAGGGTTATCGGACCTCCGAACAATGAATTTGGCAACCGCCGTATCGAGCGCAGAGTGTATTCTGTCCCTGGTCCCAATGCCCTATGGCACCACGATGGTCAGCATGGTAAGTCTTAATGTTCATAGTACTTTTTAATCTCAAGGTTTTTAGGCCTCATTCGTTGGAAAATTGTCATCCATGCATTCATTGATGGCTTTTCACGATTTCTTCTTGGCATCCTGGCAAGCAACAACAACCGCGCGACAACTGTCCTCGACCTTTTTGAAAATATTACAGAGATATTTGGGTTTCCAAGTGGTATTCGAGGGGATCATGGTACCGAGAATCTGCTCGTTGCTGCACTTATGGAAGAAGTCCGAGGAATAGGTTCGTATATTTGGGGAAAGTAGGTCATCGTGTACCATTTACTATCAATCATTGACATCTAGTTTCCAGGAGTGTGCACAATATACGGATTGAGCGCCTGTGGGTGGATGTGACCAAGGGCTTTGGGGCCAAATGGAAGACTTTTTTCGAGACTTTAGAGGCTCACGACGGTTTGAACATCGACAGCGATGCCCATATCTGGCTCCTTCACCACCTGTTCCTTGACAAAATCAATGCTGATGCAGCAGTGTGGACATCTACTTGGAACAGCCATGTACTCTCAAGGCGTGGTCAGCCGCACCAGTCCCCCCAGGATATGTATGTTCAGGGATTGGTGACAAATGGAGTTCGAGGTGTTCATGTGGAACATGAAGGAATCAATCCTGAAGAATATGGGATTGACTGGGAAGAGCTTGATCGGCGCCGCATCCGCCAGCATCATGATGAGTTCAATCCAGAGAATCATGCCGAAAATGAAAATCCCTTCGTCGTCAACCACCCTGACCACCTTTCTCATGTCGAGGTTCCAGATCTGCGATGTCCCTTTGATGCCGAGCGCCTTCTCATTTTCAATGCAGAACTCCAGAACCTACCCACTACTTTGTCGACAGATATGCACTCACATCGACAAACTTGGATTCATGCACTAGAACTAGCTACTGCTATTGCACAATAATAATATACTTGGCTGCTGCAATATATACCACACCGAAGACAGCTAGACTAGTACATGTGCGAAGAATGAAAATAAAATGTTAAAATTGAAAGCTTGAAGTTGAAATAGTGAAATTCGAAACTTGAAACTCCAAAACCGAAATGTTCAAGTTGAAAGCGGAATGTTGAAAGCGAAATGTTGAAATCGAAATCGAAATGTTCAAGTTGAATCCGAAATCACAAAGTTGAAATGCTGAAATGAAAAGCGAGGTATTGCAGTCAAGGCAGTGAGTTTGAAGTTGAAAAAAAAAAGCGAAATATTTTAGTCCGCTGGTGGCAGCGAAAGTATGCAGATACTTAAGTGGAACATGACTTTCTGGCATGAGAAAAGCAAGCACGAGGTACAAAAACGGTAATCACGTCGATCATCTTATCAACATCCTTCGACGCGTCCTCGACGGTTAAATTTCGCTTATCCATGTCACGACCAGCATCGACGCCATTAACGTTCACGATTGCACATTCTACGCCCCATAGCGGGAAATATGTCCCAGAAAACATTCTGGTTGATAAGCCCCAGGATCAGTCAAGTAGATGGAGTGGCGCTTTCCTAGGGAGTGCGAAGCAGTGGATCTTGTTGCGCCTCGAGTCGCTCGCTGTTCTTAGTGTGTTTCCCCGCTTGCTCTATACCGATGGGGAACTGATGCTACGACGATAGAGAGCATAACGTTCGGAAAGGTTGGCGTTATACACCTTCTGTGTGAAAGAACATCACTCATATATCAGTTCTAGTTCTCCAAACGTAAGAACGCGAGGGTTCTTGTTAGAGCTCGTCTTGATCTCTATGAACAGAGCATCCATGTAACATGAAAGAGTTCAAGCTTTTCGTCGGAATGACGGAAGACAATATGACGGAGGTTCTTCATTCAGGCTTGAAGAACGATGCCATCCCAGAAACTTTTGCCATCAAGCACACTAATAGTGTTGGCGTCGCATTCCCCACACGATATGTCAAGATTGTACCGATATGGTGAGCCCACTGCTCGCGTTCACAAACTCTTGCTGACTTCAACGCAGTGCACACGGCCAGAGCTTCCACGTCTCAATATGGCATGTCTCAATGACAGGCACAACTAACCCACCAGTCGTCGAACGGATCCGAGTAGATTACGCAGAAGTACGTGCCCCCCCTCATACCCCCCCTCATCCCTTCTAAGTAACCCCACCCAGCACCGAGAAACCTCAGTCCTCCGCCACATCCTCAAACACCTCCGCCAACGGCGCCTCCTCACACCCTTCCACTCCATCCTCTCCCGAACAAACCTCCGCCTCGAACACCCCCTCATAACCCAACTCCACTCCTCCATCGTCCTCAAAGGCGACTGGTCCGCTGCAGAAGACCTCCTCTCCTCCATCTCCTCCGCAGGACTCTTCGAGAACTACCTATACGCCTGCCAGCCCCACGCCATCTGGACGCGCTTGATCGGCACAGACGCAGACGGGGACGTTCCTCCGCCAAGGGGCGGACACGCCATGTGCATGGACCCCGTTAACGAGATGATATACCTCTTTGGGGGGTGGGACGGCGAGAAGAGTCTGGATGATTTTTGGGCGTACAGTGTCCGCGAGGACAAGTGGCGCGTGTTGAGTCACAGTACGTCGGATGAGCAGAATGCACCTGGGGCGAGGTCGTGTCATAAGATGGTGTTTGATACGAAGGCGGGGAGTATTTATTTGTTGGGGAGGTTGAATGATTCGGATGGGTTGAGGGCGAGTGTTACGGTTGCGCCTGTTACTGTTCCGCATGTGCATGCGCAGAGTGTTCCGCCGGCTGCTGGTGCTGCGCCACAACAACAACAACGACAACCTACGCTGGTGAATGCGGGGGATTCCAATGGTACGTCGGCGGCGGGTAAGACGTATTGTTCAGAGTTTTATCGGTATCATACACGAGGCGCTGATAAGGGGAAATGGGATTTTCTATCGTTTGATACACTAGTAAAGCCCTCTGCCTTCTTTCATATTCCTCTGCTGATTTTTCTCGCAAAGAGTTCGGGTGGACCACCACTCATATTCGACCACCAAATGGTCATGGACTGCGAAGCCCAAATCATGTACGTCTTTGGAGGACGTGTCGTCGACGGTGATTGGGACACGTCAAAGTACTCTGGGTTGTACAGCTACAACGTCCGCCTTAGCAAATGGCGTTTACTACAGTAACCCTTCCTTCTCCTTCTCCTTCCTTTCCCCCGCTCATCATCTCCCAAACCAAACCCAGACAAGCAGATACCACAAGCGGAAGCTCGCAAGTACTCATCCCCTCTCGTTTCGGCCACTCCATGGTCCTCGAACCCACCTCCAAAACACTCTTCATATTCGCGGGACAGAGGGAAGAACGATACCTTTCAGATATGTACGCGTATAATATCAACACCAACACCGCCAGCGAGCTTTTCTCGAATTTTACGGCTGCTGGAGGCCCAGATGCGTGTTTCACGCAACGAGCGGTGATTGATCCTGTGTTGAAGGAGATTTATGTGTACGTTATCCCTTTCCCTTCTTTCCTTCCCCTCTTCCTCTAGAACTTGAGCTTACACACCAAAAAAAAAAGGTTCTGCGGTCTAACAAGAGACTCCGCCTCAGGCACACAAAACACCACTCTACGCTCATACCTATCAAATTGGGTCTACCGCTACGACACCTACCCAGGTAAATGGGCAGAGATCATGCGGCACCCTGAGACGACGGCGGGTGAGATACCGATGCCGCGGTTCGCGCATCAGGTGGTGTATGATCCTGCGACGAGGTCTGTTTTTTTGCATGGGGGGAATGCGGGTGGGTTGAGTGCTGTTGGCGGTGGGAGTGGGAATGCGGGTGCGGATGGGGATGGGGG